CAACCCAGATACCACAACTTCTCCTCCCACCACCGCCCACCACACCTACAGCCCCACAGGCACCTACGGCCCACTCACTCACGCACTTCGCACACACCACGTCCACCACTCCAACCCTTATGTGACTCCACCGTACACACCGCCATCGCAGCACACGCCCCCACCCCAGGCACCCAACTCCCAGCCAGATTTTCCACCTCCGCCGCCGCCACCTCTGCCCACGGCCGAACCTGTCACTCCACCACCATCGACCTTCAAACACAGCCCCCCGCCACCACCTACCACACGTGGCACCACAGCGCCCGCCCCACCGCCCCCCACACATCCCATCTCCCACACCACCTGTTCCCGACTCCTGGAACCCCACCGAGCAACATTGGGACTCCAACACCCTGCACGGCCACCAACTACATCGTACAATTCAACCCACCCAGTGGTCTCGCAAAGGAGGAGTGGCTGGCCTCCCCACCTTTGAGGTCTTCCCGTGGCAATTGGCCTACCACGGTACCTCCGAGTTCACCGCCCGTACACTGAGCAACGGCAAATTTACAGGTTTCATTGCCACCAGAAGCATAGCGGAGTCGGTCTTCGTGACCCTTTTTCTCCAACAACTCCGCGAGCACCGCCTTGACCTTGACGGCATAGCGGAGGCTCTCCACACACAACAGAGCACAGACGTTCCAAACAAAACTACCCATGCCCGAGCTTTTCACGCTCCCCTCATCAAACTGCTTATCGACCAACTGCAAACCCACTCCCCAGCACCTGCGGAAGGCTCCGCCCTACGCGCCCTCAAGACCACCAACGACGAACTGGCTCGCGCACGTCAGAAACTCCAGGACCTGGGCAACCCACTCACACCAGTCAAGAACACCAGCCGATCTTCCGCACCAGCCGCCCCTTCTCACGCACCCACGCCACCACCACCGAAACCACCAGCCATCACCGACGTCTTGCAACCACCACACCCCACTCTGCAAGACGACATCCCCGAAGGCTGGAACTACCCAGAGATCCAACAATGGGTCACGACCTTCGACCCCACCATCCAAGAAGCTGCGACGGAAGTCATCCGACTGCTGCAAACAAGCAAGGTCACCACGCAGCAGCTAAAAGAAGCAGCCACCAAATACGGCCTACCCCTCAACCGAGTCAATCGACTCCCCATTCGCAGCCTACAACAGCTGGTGGGAGTCGGAGCAGCCATTGGTTGCTGACTCGCCATCGTGGCCCAGCAGCAACCCAGCCACACCAACCTCACCCAACTCTTCCACCTGCACCGCACACTTTCCATTCTCATCCACCGCACCCAATACATTGACCGCGCCGAGGCCATCTTTGCAACCGGCCTCATCCACATCACACTACTTTTCGCATACCCCTCCAACACCCGTCGCTCACAACAATGGCGCAACCGCCTCCGCCAGCTCCACATTTTACCACACACCTACCACTACCACAACTTCCTCTCTTCCAATTCCGTCTACATCAAGCTCCACTTCAATCCCGACCAACCCCAACGCTGTTACCATCAACACGGCCACTTCTACGTTGGCTCCACAGCTATCGGAATCCCCCACCGCGAACACAATCGCCGCGCCAAACTCAAACAACTTCAAAACAACATTCCCATTTCTGCAGAACTCTCCTTACGTTATTGGCATTCCCACAACAACATCCACCACTACACCACTATCCAACTCACCTCCCATGACACATACGACCAAGCCTGGATACAAGAGCACCACTACATCGCCAACTGGATGCCTTCACTCAACTGGCCTTTCATTTCCCACCACCTCAAACTCAAAGCTCAGGGATGGCAGTTTGCGAAACACAGAGCCCACTTCTACTCCAGACTAGCCACCCACAAACGACTTTTCCGACGCCTTCGACAACGCCAGTACACCCTCAGAGAACCACACCTTTACACTTCCACGAAGCATCACGCCCTCCAAATCCTTCGCAACCTCACCAAACACACCGCAGCCTCTTTCGAGGCAGCAAAGCAGCTAAGAAGCGGCCGCCACACAGACCTCGAGGTGTATGCAATACGGCGTATGGCCGCAAATTTGGAAGAACCTGGCCGCAGCCGAGCCCTTCACATTCTCAACAAAGCCTTGCTCTACCGCAATCTCACGCCACCAAAGCCAAACATCCCATTGACAGTGCCCTTCTTGGCCCATGACGACTTTCCCAAGCACTGCCAACAATGGCTACGTACCACCATCCAGCAGCACAAGCATTTCACCATACCCCTCCACCTCCCCTCACACAGACTGAGGGAAGCCGCCCACAAAACCCTCCGCTCCCACCTACACAACCACCGCACATGGGAGGACACCCTCCACTCCCCACCAGATCCCGCAGACCTCCCCTGTGCATGCGATCACCTTCGCACCCTCCTGCAGGATCCGGAGACCCCTACCGTCGACGGCCATTACATCCTCACAATTGATCAACTCCAACTCCCTACACACCTCAGCATTTTCCTCAACGCCAATATGAACAGTACCTATTACCCAAGCAAGGCTCGTTACTTCCTCATTTTCAAGACGGCCTATACCAAATGGCTCAAACTACAGGGGCTTCCACCATCCCTAGTTCAACACCTACAGCCCTTCCTTGAGCACCAATGGCGCCTCCACAACATACACCTCAAACAACAACCCCGCTTTACGGCTCGCCTGCTTCGCCAACTCCAAGAACATTTGGGCAAACACACATTACTCCACCATGCCGATCATGAGCTCCAGCAACTCCGGCTGTTTTGCCCTCGCCAATATTTCACTGGCGCCTTGAACACCTGGCAATCCCCCGAACTTTTCGAACCACTTCCATACCTCACTGCCGCCAACATCCACAACCACCTGGCCGCCACTGTCCCCCCCATCCTGCGCACTCGCTACAAGTGGGGCTTCCGAAAAGACTTCAACATTCCCTACGGGGTTGTCCACCTCAAAGAGAAGAAGCACTGGCAAAAAGGCCGTACAATCATTTCATACTTCCAATCACTCAGTGGCAACCTGCTACGCATCACCAGCCGTGCCCTTGACATCATCCTCCAACACCTCTACCCTCAACATCCAGGCCAAATGTCCATTCCCCAGCTTTGGCACCACTTTCACAGTTACCTCACCCAAACCCCACCAGACATCTCACTACACGCCACCAACGATGACCTGGTCGGCTTTTTCAACTCCGTTCCCCAGCACCGACTCATCGACGCAGTTCATTCCCTCGTCCACCACTGGCAACAACAGCAATCCACACACACCTTAACGGTGGATGTCCAGGCCACAGGCAATCCTTTCCACCACTCACACATTGGCCGACACCATCAGAAGCACCCCACCCAACGCACCATCCAGACTTCTGACATTACCACCATCGTGGCTTTTGCCCTCAACACATGCATTTTCCGGGCTTGCAACAATACTTACAAACAAATCCGAGGGGCCGGGATTGGATCCCAGCTCTCTCCAGCCCTATGCAACGTTGCCATCACCCTCATTGAGCATTCCTGGCATCAGATCCACAACAACCTCCTTCAACATACAGACCTCCACTTTACTTACTATCGCTATGTCGACAACCGCTTCATTGTCCACAACGAACATTTCCTTCAACACCCGGCTATCCAAACCCTCATCCACCACAATTTCTTTGGCGACCCAGTGGAACTAGAACCGGTGGAGGACTTTCATCTCCTCGGTTTCAACATCGACCTCCCACAACGCACCATCACCTACACGCAACCTTCTCAACCCTGGAAAATCCGGGATTCCACCACTGCCGGGAGCCAGCGCTTGGCTCTATCAGGCCTTCAATCACGACTTCACACCATTCGAAAATACACATTTCCACCCTCCAGCGCTGACATTGCTGCGGCTGAACTCGTGAACCTATATGTCCAAAAAGGGGCATAACTACCACGCCTGCCACCGGTTTTTGAAAAAAGCGCCGAATGCGGCCACCTGTGTGTGTCCCACCCTGGACAAAGGGTTTTCCACCACCATTTCTCCACAAGCAGGGGGACTGTCTACCCCACAGAAGTGACAGTCCAACGAAGAGGCTTCTGTGGCGGTACTGATATCAGTTCCGGACGTACCTGCTTTCAACACAATGACTCCACTGGTCCACCCTGCCGCTGTTCTTTGTTTTCATGGTCCTTCATGCTACCACCCCCAAACAGGTTTTCCCACAGCTGCCTTCAGCCGCCGACGTTCAGCCGCGCTTCTGCAGATGAGTGAACAGATTGTTAAACATTTCAGTTGCGCTGACCTTTCACCTTACGTTTCCCTCACCTTCCTTCCCAACGTGATACTTGCATTAACTGAAAATCCAAGTTCGAAGTGTGTTAACACCTGTTTCCAAGGCTTGTACCTGGTAAGTCTGCCGTAGATTCCACTAGAGGGCTGGGCGCTACTAGTTGCTTCTGGCCTTGCTACTAGGAACCAAACGAAAAACAAAAACAGCGCGAGTCAAAAAGAGGCAGGGGGTCGCTGGGGATTCGCGCAGTCAGCGACCAACGAAGACGCTGCACGCTTCTCGTGATATGAGTCAGGGACGCCTGACTCACGTACCTGCATTTTTCAACTTTCTCCGTCTCACCCTTGTTAAACAATACAGTTGAAGCGGACTCCTCCACCTTTCCGTTTGCAAGTCAAGGTCTACAATGCATCGGGTAATGTAATCGCGTGTAATCGTCTAAAGTGGGACTTCATACCGATCCTAGCTCTTGCGAGCAACCATCTAAGCATGTTCTTTATTTACTTCGGAGAGTCCGGGATCAAAAACATTGGATTTTTTGCAATACTGTTCGTTGATTTGCATTTTGCATTGCAACGTTCCAACACCTTCCAAAGTCAATGTCATCAGTGCAACCAGGATTCCAGAGCCCCCTCGTGCCTGAGCTGACATACCCTAATCCCTCAAAATTCTGGGCAGACTTCTGGTTCACCTTCCCACGAGTTGGCCTCACCAGTTGCCTGCATATCCATTAAGACCGGGTGCGATTTCAGCGTTCGCCACAGCTGCCCCAGCTGCAGCGTCTGCGTCCTAGTTCAACGGTTTTTTTCTCAAGGTTCAAGATGCTCACTTCATCAAAAATGCTAGCTGCAAGATGAAATGCGAGGGAAGGGGCGTCTGAATCAGCGCATAACAAAAAGGATGAAAGGATATTGGGATATTGGAGTCCAAACAAACCGACGAGACAAATGCTGGCAGGCTGCCAGTACTTTGACTTCGTATATTTCACCCCAACCGGACAATGAAACTAAGCATTTCGCCTGTGTGGGCGTTTCGTCTTCCATGCTTCCCACATTGGCTGCACCTCCATCAACTGCACGTTCTTTTCCTCAAGACTCAAAAATTACTCAAAGCATCGGAACAAGAATCCAACAGCCTTTTCAAATAATTTTCACTGTTGAAGGTTTGGAACAAAGTGGTCGGCATGTTTGGGCATGTTTCGTTTCAAGTCGATTCAAGACTTCAAAACCTAGTCAAATTTCTGGGTTGCAGGTTGCAGAGACATCTTGCCAACACATCCCAAATCCTTGAGCCCTCTACGTCGCTCCAACGTCTGGCTCGGCGATTCAGAGGGCACCTCAAAGTGACACTATCAAATGAGTTCTTTCTTTTACATTGGGAGCTCCATCGACGCTTCAATTGTGCATAACTGGAGTGAAAGGGCTGCCGGTTGCAAGCAACGGTCCAAGGCTGCCAGTCGGTCGCTGACCTGTCCGCCAATTGAAGCTTAGTGACTCTGTGCTTTATTGTTAGGCTTCAAAAAACAATCTTCTATGCCTTCCGCAAACGCAGTGGCCTAAGTTGTCTTATTGCTTTCGCTGGTGACTTTCGCACATTGACATGCCTGACCCTCAAGCTTGCATTCTGCCTTCTGGTGGTACTGTCGCATGGCAGTACGCAGCGTTGTCAGCGCTGCACCGCGATCCTCAAGCCTTCTCCTGCCGAAGGAAAACCAACAAGGGGCGTGAGAGTCACCACTAGGTTTCCCAAAAGGCACAGGTCAAAATGGGGCGCCCTTTCCTTTTGGTTCAGGGACGTTTTCAAGCTGAACAAGAGCACCCTAAGTAACTGAGGGGTGCTTGCCCTCTGTTTGTTTCTCTTGTCTTGTACTTGGACTCATAAACTCGGTGTGCTCCTGAGAGTGGACCGATGAAAGTTTACGGCCAAGATCACGTGATTGTAGAACATCGAGCAAAGATTACCTTTCTTATGGCCCGAAGTCGACATTGCACTGACCTCTGCTGCTGTTAGGCATGGGGAAATAAAAGGCAGAGAGGCGCAAAGTCTCGCATTGAGGGTCGATGTGACAGGCTCTTTATATATGTTACAAGGCTTTGATCAAGGCCCATTCACTGCCATGCGTTCGGACAAAGGTTGGGCCGAGCAGGACATTCACAGTTCGAAGGGGGGGTTCTTTCTCCTTGGTTCAAGGCCGCTTTCACGCCGAACAAGGGCACCCCGAATAGTGCTCATAAGAGTGGACCAATTGTATAACATCGAGCAAAAATACCAGAGATACGCAGCGTCTCGCTTTGAAGCTTCATATGATAGGGCCGATATACACAACGCCTCGATCAACTCCCACCCACTGTTACTGGGCACAGGGGGTTCGACTTTGATCCGTGCAAAAGTCCGACTCCCTTGGACGTCTATAGCTCTGAGGGGTGCCCTCTTTCATCCAGATAACAGCCTTCTTCGCAATACAAAGGAGCACCCCCAAGCAACTCAAGGGTCCCTGACTGCATTCTATCTCCTCTCCTGGGTCCTCTACCTGCACCCATAAATCTGGTGAGCCCACCTCAATATGGGGAAGCCTCTTTAAGGAGCAAAGAGGAGATCCCATACCAAGACGCAGCTGTGAAGGTGAAGCCCGCAAATGTCCTCCTGCGTTGTCCGAACTGGCTTGCACAATCTCGCTGCTTCTGTCCTCTAACGGGATGGACAAGCACTTCGTGAGTCCTCTGCCCAAACCCCCACCCCAAGTCGGTCGACTCTAGCTTAACTAGTCTCCTGAGCACTTCGTCGTGCTAATGATACACTATTCAGCGTCATTTGCATCACTCGCATCACCAAGACCCCTAAAACATACCTTTTCACTACCTTCCTGACCACCCTTCTTTTTTCACTCTCACCAGGCTCTGGGTTCACCCTACCCAGCGGGACCAAGTTTGCAACCACCACCCCACACACACACACTATACTCACTTCGTTCGCCCATCAACAACTCCAGCCTAGCCCATCGGCTGGCTTTCGTTACCTATATTTAATATGATCCTATATATGTGCAACGGCAGTCCACACATTTGAAAGATCCTAATCTGTGGTGCAACAGCATTTGACCACAATCTTGATTTCATTCAGAGAGAGCTGCACTGCATCGGTCCTGGCCACTGACACAGCTTCTCTTGACAGGCACCACTCCTTGCATGCAGCGGCTGCTTGCTCCTGGTACATCGGAGAAGCCGAAAAAAGCGCCTGGCCTCCAACCTAGAAGCGATGGCCTCCTAAGAGTGATGGCCTCCAACCTAATGGGAACCATCATAAAGTCTCAGCTGCCCAGCTCCTCCAGGGATGCATTGAAATCTGCCTCTCGTTTCACCTCTGCTTCCAGGGCCAGTGTTCGACCCGAGGCTTCCTGCACCTTAAGTCAGGCGCAGGTTGGACCACTCAGAACTCATGAGAAGCATACTAGCATGATATTGCAGTTCTGTCAGGCCGGTGCCTCGACCTGCGGAATGAATTTTGAAATCATACCATACCACCTACTCTTTGGGGTCGGTACTCATTGCCCTGCCCATGAATTTGCAATCTTGGTTTGAGTGCGTGCGGCAGGATCAAGGAGCACATTGCGAGTCAAGGATTCTGCAAATTTGAAAATATGTTGGTTTGTCTGGAAGAACAGAACAAAACATAGATGCAGTTACAAATTCAATAATAAGAGGAGCTCTAAAAACGGTGGGTGCATTCTGAGATGCTCCAACTGTGCATAAGACAAAATCTTCTGAAATTGGCATCGGAGGTGTTGAATCCACAGTTCCAAACGTTCAGAAATGTGATGCTTTGCGAAACGTTCAAGCTTATGTTGCCCAAGAGCTTCAAAAATAGAATGTCACAAAGGCCAAGAAAATGCTGAATTCGGAAGACTTGAGACTTATCTGCCGTGCAGCTTGTGTGACACCTTGCAAAAGGTTGTCTTGAGGTGGTCCGCCCTAGCGGCCCTAGCGTGTCCCACGCGGAAGTGTTGGGCCTAGTTCCTCGAGCGACTTGCACACTACCTAGCTGACTGCAATCAATTTGCAATTTGGTGAGAATAATAAGGCTGCTCAACCTGAGACCGGTCTTGTGGTAAGCCGGTAAGAGTACTGCGCTCAGTGCTGGTGCTATGTGTTCATGTCAGTCTAGTCATAATCTGAGATGTTTGTGCTTGCTTGCTTGCTTGCTTGCTTGCTTATCGCAAATGTTGCTGGGTAGTGTGTGAGTGAGAGTGATGACTGAAAGTGAGTCAGTTAAAGTGAGTGAAAGCAAGTGACTGAAACCGCGCGAGTGAAAGTGAGTGAATTGGAGAAGAGTGGAGTTGGAGTGCGAGTGAGAGTGGGAGTGAGAGTGAGAGAGACTGAGAGAGTGAGGGGGAGAGAGACACACAGAGAGAGAGAGAGAGAGAGTGAGAGTGAGAGTGAGAGTGAG